CCAATGGGAGCACCCTTTCTCCAGAGAATCCAAGCAGATGAGTCCTTATTGGTTCGAACTTGTCTCTACCAATGTTCATGTTGTCAAAGGCGGATGCAAAGATGATATTGACAGAGCTCCCGTTATTAATTAGAACTCAGTGGATGGTTCTATTGGTGATGATAACCTTTACTACCAAGGGATCATCGTGGGAATGTTGCAGCCCTCCAAATCTTTATCCAAGAATGTTATGTCCATGCTCAGCCGAGGTGCTTTGGACACAGCCTGTACCTCCAATATGTCTTCGGCTCAGACTTTGCTTATATGGGCCTTCCTAGCTGAGCTGGTTTCCCCACCTCTAGCAAACCCTCTGGATATGTTGTTGTGCAGGAACTTGTTGCTGAGGTGCTGGGGGTGGGTGAGCTCGATTTTGATTATCTTGCACTACGAAGTGGCGCAGTTGCCCCCTCAAGATGAGGAACTCGATCTCCTTCTTCAACTAGATGCAGTCATCAGTGTGATGACCTTGGTTCTTATGATATTCGTAGTATTTCATAGTATCCCGTTTTGTAGGGTCACTTTCATTCGAGGTGGCCATCTTAGGAATTTTTCATGTTGCACCTCGTAGAGGACTTAGGACATCGTGGCATTGAGGGGGGTGAGCTGCCTTGGGGCGTACCTTGGTTATAATTCCCGAGGTGGGGGACCCAAGCGATCTCTAACGTCTCATCTTCTTTTTTGGGAGCGATCTCTGTCTCTTTGTGGAGACCTTTCTCAACTCCTTTCCTTCTTCGGACTTTAATCATTTTTTTTTCTACTTTTCATTGTGGGTTCCCAAGCTTCCAGCCTTAGAGAGGGAAGCCTCATCACCATTGATGTACTTCTCTGCCTTAGCAAGTACCTCAGCTGTGCTGGCTTGTGGGTTTTTGGAGATAGAGAACATTAAGTCTTTGGATTGAACTCCTAGCCCGACGATGAATGCGGTGAGGGCAAACTTCTCTTCAGGGACATCTACTTTCAAAAATTATGAGTTGAATCTTTGAACGTAGCTTCACAGTGTCTCATTTGGCTATTGTTTCACGTTTAATAAGTGATAGCTCGACTTTCGGCAGGTCCGAGCTCCAATAAAATGTGACACGAACGACACCGAAAGTTCTTTGAAAGAAGAAATAGAGGCTGGGGTCAACCTGCTGAACCAGACCAAGGCTGAGCCTTTTAGAGTGATAGCAAAAGCTCGGCATCACACTAGATNCTGCCTTGGGGCGTACCTTGGTTATAATTCCCGAGGTGGGGGACCCAAGCGATCTCTAACGTCTCATCTTCTTTTTTGGGAGCGATCTCTGTCTCTTTGTGGAGACCTTTCTCAACTCCTTTCCTTCTTCGGACTTTAATCATTTTTTTTTCTACTTTTCATTGTGGGTTCCCAAGCTTCCAGCCTTAGAGAGGGAAGCCTCATCACCATTGATGTACTTCTCTGCCTTAGCAAGTACCTCAGCTGTGCTGGCTTGTGGGTTTTTGGAGATAGAGAACATTAAGTCTTTGGATTGAACTCCTAGCCCGACGATGAATGCGGTGAGGGCAAACTTCTCTTCAGGGACATCTACTTTCAAAAATTATGAGTTGAATCTTTGAACGTAGCTTCACAGTGTCTCATTTGGCTATTGTTTCACGTTTAATAAGTGATAGCTCGACTTTCGGCAGGTCCGAGCTCCAATAAAATGTGACACGAACGACACCGAAAGTTCTTTGAAAGAAGAAATAGAGGCTGGGGTCAACCTGCTGAACCAGACCAAGGCTGAGCCTTTTAGAGTGATAGCAAAAGCTCGGCATCACACTAGATCTTGATAACCATGCAGCTCCATCTGCTTCTTGTAAGTGTTGAGATGGTCCACGGGATCTCTTGTCCCATGAAAGACTTCTATCTGCGGCATTCTGAACTTTAGTGGGAAAGGGAAATGCAGTACTTCTTGTAATGCCCCAAAACACACCCTAGATGACATTACATTCTAAAACCATTTATATCATGAGAGCACTAATATAATCCCTTAAGAAACAAGACTTCATTTGTCATCCACAAATATTTACAACATTATCCAAAAGAATAAGCCCAAGTCATGGCTATTACATCTCAAAAATTAATTAAAGAAGCGCA